GAAATTTCGTAGAATTCTTTTTTGCATACCATTTAATTATCTGAAACAATACATGAGCTATGACACATTTCATATTTGCAAAACGTTGTGAAAAGCACAAAGAATCTTAACTTTCTGAATAATTGTGAAAAAAATATGTTGAAAAAAGGGAAAAATAAAATTTAGGTCGCAACTTCCTCTGCAGCACTATGAATTGTCCCAGGATGTTGCATATTTTCTTTAAATAAAACGAACTCACCTTTTACTATTGAAATTTTTTATTACATTGTTATGTTGTCTATTTAGAGAATTTATTTTAAGATATTGTACTTTAAAGCAATCGATTTCTGTCAACTATATTCCTGAGTTTAACGTCATCTTTCAGTAAATTATACCTCTTAACGTGGGTAGATTTCTGACAAAGCAAAATATAATATGACATAACAGTAAGCTATAAGACGTGAACTTAGCAATGTTCTCTTTATAGTTGAAATTCAAGATTTATTTTAAAAATAATAAATAAAATCCAGCAAATATTATTAGAAAGAAAGATATGTTTTCTTATGCCATGTAACTTCTTTTTTGTTGATGACCTGTCAATCATGACAAGTAGAATGTAAACACGTACCGAAAACAGGTATTAAGAAGCATATTTTGAGCGATTCCAATGGGATGGAAGTATATTACCCAGGTATGCAATTTTTTTTTTGTTTGATTTTCTTTAATGTAGATGAGCACCATGTTGCACATATCTCTATCAGCCTTTCCTCTTTAATTTCTGATAAAATTATGGCGTGCAAATCTAAGTAATAAACAACGTTTATTCAGTGAATATGGAGTAATCTATAGCAATTCCGCATCAGGTATATTCCATGATGTGCACTAGCGCATCATGGAATATGAAAACAGAGCTATTACTACTCGTAACGCCATGTTTATTGAATAACTTTGGTTTTTTTTTTTAATAATCAAACTGAATTGGGAAAGTTTAAGTTTCTTTATCAACTGTTTTGTGGCTAATATAGTGTAGGTTGGCTAAATCTAGGTTATGCAGCATAACTTTGGTATCTACGAAAATTCATTCCTTAATGAATTCCATATACCGGATAGCGTAATAGGCCCATATATGGATATGTCGACAGGCAAGCGATAGAAAAAGAATGCATGGTATAAAACAATAATTTATGTCCTTTTTATCATATTCTTTAAGGACGCTGCATCAAGGTTCTGTGGAGAAATCTTGAAAGATGCTGTTGTTATGTGGTGATTGCTTTATTTAAAGGCAATGGAAACTTTAAGCGTATTTTGTTTTAATTGATGCATTATTTGATAAACCACCCTTAATTAAAATAAACTTCACTAAATGACAATTTGGGGTATTTATTAAACTAATTTCTTAATACATGTCGTTAAATTAGATGTACCGATAACCGTAGCGTTTACATTTGATATAAAAAGATAAAATTTTATAAAGGAAAACTATTCTTAAAGTATTGTAACTAAAGACGAAATGACATTATAACCCTTCACACATACAGATATTATATTACTTACCTTGGTTCCCAGAAAAACATTGCATCCACTAGTGCCAGAATATTGTATACGAAAATAAATGTAATTAAATTATGCAGCTGCATTATTGCAGAAAAAATACGTGTATGGCATGAAACTAGGCCAACGAAATGACAACTACAAATATATAAATATAATAATATGATATATAAATGTCCTGTTTGATGGATACAACTTAGCAACAGCTGTTTAAATTTAAGGAAGTATCAGTATATATCTATTGAGGAAATAATAATTTTCATGCAGAAAATTAATATTTTAATATTTTATAAATAAATATATTATACTTAATTTGGACGTTTATCTGTAAAATTCGCTATTTATTATCATTGTGTGCTTATCGTTTATATATCATAGATTTTTTTCCCTTATTTAGTATCATATATATATGATTTTTACTGTTAGCGAACATGTAACACTGGCAGGGAAGTCAACACACCAGGGCACTTCCACAAGGAACAAGAGGGATAACTGCATACCTGTCCTTATGCAGTTTCAGACAGAGATGACCGCACACCTGTCACTAATGAATCGGTACTTCTTGTACTACTGATTTTTAACAATCGGACACTCGTTTACTTTCAAGAAAGCGTAAATTAAGATAAATTTGGTCATAATGTTTCCTCTGAAAACACCTTAAGATTGAACAATAGCTTTGATTTCATAGATTTTTTCCCCTTTTTTAGTTCAGGACAAAAAATATTAACCAGTCTATTTTTCCCTTCAACTTAATAGCTCTGGATTAATAAAAAGTTTATACTTGGATTTTTATGGCATGGTTAATGGCAAAACATTGGTTAATGCAAATATTTAGGGGAAAAAATAATTGTGTATTCTTTTCTGTGTACAGATATATTAGTGCACATAAAAGACTTTTTTGCCAAAGTCCCTTGATACTATAGAAGCAGCAAGCACCTAAAGGAACTCTTGACAAACTGGACATATGAATAACTTATAGTACTTATACAATACAAGATGATATTTAATCTTGTCAAGAAGACTTTTAACAAAAAAAGAGTTCGAGGAGTTTTATTATTTTTTCTACATATTTAATACTTTGTAAAATCCTTTCAACATACAATTTAAAAAATGCAATTTTAATCAGCATAGATGCCTTGCACTTTCGATTCTTGTCTACTAGATCGTAATTTTATGATTGACATATGAATATGAAAACAAAACCAAGTGAAAAGTTGAACAAGATTTTTTTCTTAATATCACATGCAAGATGACTCAAGATGAATTCCAGTTTATAAAATAACTGTCTTGCTATATCTTCATTGTGCTAGTCAGTTATCGACCTCCACATGTGCTTAATAAATTCTAAATGCACCGAAAACATTACTTATACAAAGCATTCTTGAAAAAAGTTATTGGATTAAGAATTAGCTCTACGTTAAAGCAGAACATTAAAGCACGTGCTACCAGAATCATATTACATGTATTACATAGTGACTTATTTTCGATTTATCTTGATACCTTGATCCATAATAATATTTTGAATTCAAGGTTACAAGGAAAAGAGATCTAAGATATAAGGTATATCCTCGGTCAGAGTTGTTGTTCAAGGCATTATCTAGTCGTTATTATATCTAAATCTTAAATCTAAGTATCCAGTGCTTGATCATACTGTGCATTAAATAAATAATTACCTTTATGCACATAGTGTATAACTAAATTATTTTGAATTGCTTGATATACTCAATCACTCTAATAGCACAATGTTATACATTGGCCTTATTTGATGTCTTTTAGCTTTCTCAATTACCTAAATATCAAGGAATCAAATGCATACAATGTACACTGCAAAAGCATTTGCAATAATTTGTAACTAAATAATTAAATAAAATTCATTTTATTCGAAAAAAGAAAATTGTATCAGACTCAGGTAAACGGAAAACAGTTTCCTTCATGCATGTCCTGTTTGTCAGATGTTCATAGTTAGGTTTTGATGAAATATTTGTGTTTTATGGTTAGACTGTTTCAATGTATCTTTTTAATTCTGTAACCATAACATCAGCAAAAGAGATCAAGAATCTCTTGAATTTACTGTGTTTAAAATACTTTTTTCTAGTGTACAGTTTTTTTTTGTTTTTTTTTACTCTAAGCAACCTAAAACGTCCATTATTAAAGCAATGCATAAGATGACAAGAATAAAGTATTCTAAACAGACACAAGTATTAATCGTGGTAGGAACGGATTCCATCTTGCACAAAAGCAGAAACTTCGTAGCTTAATTTCTCAAATTCGTTGCAGTTCATATGTCTTTTGAAATATAAGTCCTGACATTTTGTGTCTGCAATATATATATATATATATATATATATATATATATATATATATATATATATATATATATATATATATATATATATATATATATATATATATATATATATATATATGCTCTGTATTGTGAATGTCAACATGTTCGTGTTGGCATTCATTACATTTTGTTTTCGAGATTTTATTTTATTTTTAATTCAACTTAAAGCAATTCAAATCCTCTAAAATAGTCCATATAATACATGCATATGAATCATACTTTACTTTAAATTCTAAAAGCTTAAGAATAGCCAAAAATATCCGGAGGTAGTTCAACATATGCAGGATACATGCAGCAGGTTTGATTTGGACTTGGAATTGGATTTATACATTTATATATAGCTGAATTCGGTCATGTACCGTTGAGACAAATTATATTTTAAACATGAAATTGTAACTATTTAAAGAATTTTTCATCAGCTATCTGATGACGTAATACCAGCATCACAACAAATTCTTAGTTTATGTAATACTGCTTGTTTCATAATATCTGTTCCAATTACAAACTTGTATAGAAATTGTCAAATTAATTAATTTAGAAGAATTTAATAAATTTTTAAAAATTGAGTTCATTTTTTTATTCTGGTAAACGCACCCTTATTTAACTTGTTCAATGCTTTTGATTTACCTATCTTCGAAAAATGTATGTTTTACATAATGCATTTTATATGGCGACGTCTTTGTGATAAAATGAGGTAAACGCAAACTCTAGTCACTGCAGAACTACTCCTTTAATCCCGCTGTCTTCTCCAATATATTTTACCTGACACTACGTTTGTTTTAATATGTTTTTCTCTGATCTACATATTTCTTTGCATTATCCTGCCAACAGTTATTGGTAAATGGCATTCATAGTACAAATCCACCACTTCATCAACTTCTTCTTTATAATTAGATGGGCATATCGAAATATTAGTGCTTTTTATGACATCATATCTGTTGTCAGACCATAAAAAGAGCTGATTTTTTTTAAAGATTTAGAATTGATTCCTTTCTTCTTTAGAATACTTTTTTTAAATTATAAAAAACAAAGATTTTATAGACAGTTGTAATGGGGACAGATGTTATGAAACACGCTGTACTTTCTGTAAACCCATTCTTAAATGACAAAGGACAATATACAC